TTTACTGATTTATATTGTTATTTTCTTGTCACTGTTTAATTTTTCATTACAGCAACAGAAATCAATTCCAGAAAATAGATGAACCTTATTGAGGGTGTTCCTCTTGTTAAAGCCAACCTGTTTCACTACTTATACAGAGTTTGTTGGCTGGTGAAATACCTTTTACTAAAGAAAACCTTGATGATAGATATTAATAGGATACACGGTTAAAGCAAACCTACAAAGATCTCTGGACTCACAGAACAAAATGTTACTGTGATAGTTGTTCCAGGACAGAGGGTTTGAACAATCTGATACTGGTCTTAATCCAAGTACTACTTCTCTGCTTAAAAACCTTGTTGACCACATTTTATTGCTTACAGAAAAGCAGTAAACAAAGTGACTGCAGTCTTTGCATGTAACCTGCAACCTGGAAATAACAGATTTATGGAATTGAAATAGAGCACATATTGCTGGTCACTGAGGATAGAAAAAACGATAAAAACATTGGCTAATTTCCAATGGGACTTAAGGATTTGGTTGGAGGAATTCAGTTAACATGTTAACAGCTCTTTTCAAAGATGACACAGTGGGCCTTTGAGCAGGTTCCAGCTGTTGAAGTGCAGCGCAATAAAGGGTATGAAGGACTCTTTATTGTCTGTGGTTTGCATTTCCTTATTCTGGTGATACTGGATGTCAGAGTGGTTCACTCTCACGGTTTTTAAAGGAAGGTTCAAATTTTACTGATTTGTGGCATCTATACTGGTTCTGTTGGGTGCAGCCCGTGAATCCTCTAAAAAAAGAAGGGGAACTCATCTGGCCCAAGAACCTGTGCTCTTGCTGTAGCCAGGTTTTGCTCAGGAGGTGCAAGCAGTTACCTGCCTGTGCAGCTCTTTTGGGTGATCTTTCCTAATTGATTACTAATCACTGAAGGAACATATGAAGGAGTGCAGTGAGGATGCATGGGGAAACGTCAGGCATTGCTGAGACACCCATCTGTCCTGAGTGTGTGTATATATAGCTATAGCTATAGTATAGCTGGGCCTGGCAGGTTCTGCTCCTCCAGAAGGGAGTGGTTTGGGAAGTCATGTGAAAACAAGTCCCAGCATCAGAACAGGGAGCAGCCTCCCTCACTGCAAAATGCAGAAGGTTTAGAAGAGTGGGTTTGAGAGTCATTTTCCACCCCCTCCAAACTGCAAAGGGAAAGGAAGAATCTCAGGGTATTGCAGCTCCAACACACTGCAAACATTTTTGCAGAATATTTAATGTTTATCTTGGTCAGATGTTCCTTACAGTTGGTACTGTCTTGCCTTCTCAGAAAACAGAACTGCCTCGTCGGGACCTAGTTTACTAACAGTCTTCCTGGGAGTAGTGTGTGTCGCAGCACTAATGCTACCTACATCGGGGGAAATGGAATCCCTGGTGCCTCTCTACCTCCACTTAAGTGTGAATCAAAAGTTAGTAGCTGCTTATGTTTTAGGTGAGTACTTTGGGTTTTGTAAACGTTTTCTTGCAAATTCTGTGAGTCTGGAAAACTTCATCTGTGTTCGCCAGTGGCTTCAGGAAGCTGGATGGAGACAAAGCACCACATGACATTTTGTTTTGCATCCCCACGTATATCTTAATTTGCAGCCATGGTGACAGCAGGGTAAATTAGTTATTGTAAGTGTTTTAGACCAGATTTGAGTCAATACTTATTACACACAGGCTTCTACATGTTAATTTTACCTGCATTTGATGATGGGCCAACCACGGTCATCTGCCAACAAAACTGAATGGAACGTCCTGTTTCTTATTCTTGTATTGCAGTAGTTACTCTATTGCAGAACGTAGGGCTCTTGTGTTACTGTGTTTCTCCCTCTAGCCCCGGTGAGCTGGTTTGTAAGGCCCAATTCTCACTGCCTTCTTGATAAGCAGTTGAAGTGTGTAGCAGTAAGTTACTGTAAATCCTTTCTAAGAGACCACTACCATCCACAGTTCTTCCTCATTTGTAACTTAACTCCTACATTAGCAAGCATAGGTAAGTTGCACATTTCATTTATTATGACTATTTCTCTATAACTATTTCAGATTTGAAGAACAGTCACACTAAACTCAATTCTCCTGTCCAGAAATGAGGATTTACAGGAAACGAGCTAGGCAGCTTCAAACTGATAGCTAGAGGTGAGGTAGTGATGGGGAAAGGTGCAAGCTCTTGATGGTTCATGCACAGTCAGCTGACTCACAGGTCAATCTGCTGAAGCAGTTTGAAATCTCACTTGTGGCTCTTTGCCCAAGCTGATGCTGATGGACACTCAGATCAGGACCTTACAGTAATCCTCACTCTGCTTTTGTCTCTGCTTTTGAAAATTACTCCAGGTTCTGCTGGTGCCAGCTGCAGTATTAAACCATGTGACTTTATACATTTGCAACAGCTGAACGTGTTTCTTGATTCCCTATGAAGTTTTGACAGGTTTTGGTTCCTTTGGTGGCAGTATTTTTAGTGTTCATGGACAGATTTTTTTGTGTGCAACTCTTGCTTGTGTAGGAAGTCAATTATTCTTGAGAAGATGAAACCACTTTCTTCCACAAGGAAGTACAACTGGATTGTGGAGCATTTAATTGAAAAGGGTTGTTATACCACACCAGCTGGGCTGTATGACATTTGAGAAGTATTTGATTTACAGAAATTAGTTAAACCCTTTACTGCCTGAAAGTCCCTGTGCAAGTGGTACAGGCTTTCCTGTAAGCACCCTCTGTTGTCACTCTGCAGTGATGGAATTAATCCAAATTAAGGCCTCCAGCAGTTGTGGTAGCACTGGTTGTCTGAGCCAGTATAGACCTCAAGAAATAGCTGAACTGTAATTCCTCTTTAATGGATAAATTGCTGATCTGATGGAAGGCAGCATTACAGCTCTGTTCTGTCATGCTTCACAGTCTTCACAGTCTCATAAAGTAAATAATTTAAATCACTATGTAGTGGCAGGAGAGTAAAATAGTCTCAGAAACGTCTTTATTCATGGTGAGGTCTGTAGGCTTTAGCTGAGTTCTCTGCAGTGAAAGGCTGTTACATTGACATCATCTGAGCCTGCAAGAAAGACTGCCCAAGAACTGATAAATTATTATTGTGATGTTACATAAGGTTGGAATTCAAGGAGCCTTAATGTTCTTCCCTTGCCTTGTGCAATATAACCCATGGCTAAGAACTTGCAGATTTGTACTTTTTCCTGTATCAGCACATAATTAAAGTGAACTTTTCGGTGTGCCGTGAGTAGGTTTATTAGTCCCACATTTCCTGCTTTCTTCTGGTTTTAATTGTTTTTAACCTCTATCAGAGCAGGTTTTTTTTCCTCCCTCTTTAAAGGTCACAACAAAGAGTCTGTTGAAAGCTCTCTCTGCAGACTGACAAGGAAGCTTAACATCTTTGTGTAAAACTAGTCTTTGATCAGTTATTCTGCACAGAGCAGAAAAAAAGCCTTGGAGCCTTCAACTAATCTGCCTTACTGATGATTCAGCATTTGAATGACACTGCCCATAACTGGCCCCCATGAAAACTGGGGTTTGGGTTCTACTGTTACGCTTACCTAAGTCAAAATCTCAGTGTTAAGATTTTCCAGGAGCGAGATCAGTAATTGCTTGGAGTATTTATAGCTTCTTTAACATTCAGTGATTAGATAAACTGCACTTCAGTGTTGGATTTTGACTACATTAAAACTTGGAGCAATACTTCTAATATTTAAGTGTATGTATAAATGCATTCTGCATGTATTTACACACTTTTACATTGTTTTCTGGGCTGTGACAGGGTAAACTGTATTTTAAATGTTTTATTCAGTGAAATTGAAGTGTTTATTTCTTCATTCTTGTCTTTCAGGTCTCATCACCATGGTTATTTTGAGAACATGAGCAGTGAGTTCATAGGATGTCAAACACCTTACTGTATATTCACATCATGAATGTGGACTGCCTTTTACTCCCATTTGGCTCATTAAGATGCTAGCAAAACTGTTCAGTGATTTAAGATACCTTCAGAAGTGTAATATATTTTAACTGTGTATAATAAACGAAAGACTCAAAGCACTTTGCAGTGCTTCTGTAACAGACAGCTATGAAATGTTCAGTGATACCTGTGAAAATAATTTGAAAAACTTTTATATCTACGCCTACTGTAAAAAATCCTTATTAAAGCAACATTTGTTATTTTTAGTCTATGTTCACATCAGTGCGTGATCACTATAAAAGCAAACTGTCTTCTGTAAAACATTCATTTGGTTTGTGGTTGTACCTGCCAAGGCTGGCACATAGCACTTCTGTATACAGACCAGAGGGGTCAGAGTCATGACTGGTCATTGAAGAAAATTAAAAGTTCCATCAGTGAAACTATGAAATAAACCATGAATTTTAGGTGAAGAAGTAATTCTCAAATTTCTTACTTCATCATTACCAATATATCACTGAGTGCTCGTTTTCTTACTTGGGGAAATAATTTCTGCAAGAGCCATTTTGTATCACAATTGTAGACAATAAAAACAAGTTCTGTAATCAGATCCATTCATTTCTTAGGGATGCATGGAAGTGACATTAACAGAAGTTGTACTCACCCTGCACACTAATACAAAATTCACCATTTTTTCTATTTTAGAGACCAAACTAAGTATAGCAGCAAAGGCATTTCTCTACACAGTCCCTACCCCCACAGCTACCACAGGGACTTCTTTTCTATCAGAAACTCCTGCTCAAATACCAGTTTCATATTTGAGGTGAACATTTATCTTGTTTCATATAACAAGTATTTCCCTCGGTTTGACATTTCATTGTTGAGATGTTCATTTTAAAAGGGCAGCTATTCTTGCATTTGAATCATACACACAAATCTTTGTTCATAAGAAGTCTATAGAATATGCTCTGATATGAATAAAAAATTTGGAAATGAAACCCTTCACCCCTGCATGTTATGGGTCCCTTTTCTGCCTACGCATGGAAGTACAGAAAAACCATGGAAAAAGCTGTTTCTTTTAAAAAAAGGAGAAAGAGAAGTTGAATTCAAGTTGTTATTCACTACATTTTTACTTATATCAGTAAGTCTTTAAAGGGCAATAAAATGTTACTTTAGTTTGATTCTCGGAAGAACTGAGGTTGTGTCATCAATCAGTATCAGATGATAAAGTCAATCATTAACATTCACTAAAAAAGACCCCAAAATTGTTCTTAACTGGCTGAGTAGTCAAGTCCCAGAGCCTGCTGCAGGCACAGCTCTTGTCTCCAACAGAGCTCATGGTTGGGTCTATTTTCCTGCCACTGCAGGGCTGTATTCTTGTAGCTTCACTGTTCTTCAGTACCTCCACTGTTAATTCTGATTTTCACAAGGTAGTTTAACCTGCTGTTGCTTGGGGAAGGGTGAGGGAATTGAACAGAAGTTGGGGAGATAAAACTGTCGTGTGGTACCTTATCTTAGCACCCAAAAGCCAGGCTAAACATTTAATTGTGCCCAAGCTGATTAAAAAAGCCCAACACAAACCCGCTTTTTTCCCCCCATATCTGGGCATTCCAGTCATGGGCCAGGATCATGTTCTGCCAGGCACTTGGAGAAGTACAGAAGAGACAATTTCACCTACAGGAGCTCAGAGTCACTGTAACCAAGTCTGACACTTGCAGCTGCCTCAGTCCTGCAGGACAGCAGGTGCCTGGGGAAGGGAGATCACAGGACATGGACCCAGACTGCCAGTGTTTGTTTTCAAGGAATCTAAAGAGAAACGATTGGTTTAGAAAAACACTTTGACCAAAGAAATCAGTAACAAAAAGTAATCATCAACCAAATAGACTAAAACATTGGACGACTACTTTGTCAAGGGCAAACAAGGAGCAATACATAGATAAAAAAAGATTAAATGCACAGTGTAACTCAGCAGATAAAACTGGTGCCTGGGCGAAATAAGGATGACAAGTGTGAATTCTGACTTCTTTCTACTTCAGGGAGGTTGCAGCACACTGCGGAGTCACTGATTTATCAACAGTGTTGGGAAAACGAGATCCGAAGACAGTTTGAGTTCAGCACTGTGAGGGGGAATATATCAAATCATATTACATCATGGTCACAGATGGGCACTAGTAAAAATTTACCAGGTGGATACATAAGATTTCTAAGATATTTCCTGATTTTATATATGTGTATATATATATATATACATATATATATATATATGTGCATGCATACACCTCTAACACTTACTTAACAGGGGCTCAGAAAACACTGAATGCCTTTGGAAATAAGACCCAAGACAGCGAATATGCCTCCTAGAAACAGCAGGAAAAACAGTTAAGTGTTCACGTCATTTCCCATTCCTGACTCCTAACACAAACAAACAGTCATTTCCTTGCAATGGACAAGTATTTTCAGCAGACAGTTGGGAGGGCTTTGAGATCATCCAGCAGAAACAATCCTCGTGTTTACCCAGCACTTGCCGTGGCACCGATATCTCAAACGAGCCATGCTGGCAGCAGGAAATGGGAGCCCTGCCGAGATCGCTTTCGGGAGCGTCACTCCCAGTCGCTGTAGGCTTGGTACATGATCTTCTCGAGGTGTTTGCACTTGTCTGGATCAGAAAATGCTTAAACGACCCTGTTCTCTCTAGAGGAGAAACTTGAAACTGCAGTAAACGTGTGTTGCTGTTTCAGAGCTCCAGGGACAGATGGGGCTCTCAGGGAATCGGTTCATTCCACCAGGGATCGCAGCCGATGGAGCCCCTGAGACGGGAGAGTGGGTCCAGTACCCTCACATGGCAACCACCTGGAAACAGATCAGGCCCTGCAAAGGGAAATGCTGGGCTGCTGCTGCCGCGTCTCAAAACGTGTCCCGGGAAGACAACAGGGTGTGCTGTCAGATGGGAACAGTCACTGGTGCTGTGGAAATAGCTCCACAGGGGCATTTCCAGCAGCTCCAAGAGGAGCCCATGTGTCTTCAACAACAAAGCAGAGAAATCCTTCCTGCAATCAAGTAGTTAAGAATTGTCAAAGCCAGTCGTATGTTATTTCATCGTATGTTCCTATGTAGGAAGTATCTGATAACCAACAAGCCTAAACTGGAAAGAGGCTGCCAAATAGGTTTGGCAATAAATCACCACATTTTAGTACTCATTTGTCAATGTACATTTAAGATACCTCACTTTCCATGTAACAGCTTTCCTTATAAATGCCAAGTTCCACCATCCCTTTCTTTTGTCATGAATCTCCTACTTCAGACTTACATTTATTGGTATTCCACCTCACTGGAAGGGCAAAGCTACAGAAGGGAACTTGCCTGAGCCAGTAAAACAGTTCCAGGAATGTTTTGTTTACAGGAAAGAGAGCTCTCAGGTGCCAAGTGATATATGCTTCAGAGGGCCCATGGTGATCCAGGGCAACATCAAGTTTAAGGACCAGGAGGTTTTTGAAAAACCCTTGTACAGGAGGTCTTAAAAACACCTCAAACCTTGAATCACCTTCTCTGTCAGGTGGGAGTTTGAGTTCTCGGGTCAGCTCAGGTGCTTTGCCCTCTGACCTTGCATGAGACCCTTTGGGCAGAAAAAAGAAGGGAACAGAAAGCCATACAAAGCATGTGGGGCTGAGCAATCCTGGTATTGATCCTCCTGCCAGCTGCGTGCAGAGAGAGGGGCTGAGTGGCTGTAGAAAACAAGTTCCCTCCTGTGTCCTGTGGAACAGGGCACTCACCTGTTCACAGCAGGGTAGGGAAGGCACCATCTGTCTCTAGAGCTGGAGGAGAAACATCCGAAGCTAATGGTGCTGCAGTCTTCCCTGCAGGAATAACGTGCTGCCTGAGGAAATTAAATTAAGACTGAAACCACTGAAGGAGAGTGAAGTACATTGTTGCCAACAGCACATCACTCACTTGTTACTGCTGCACAGAAGCTGGTGAGGATTGGGAAACCACTGCTACACCATCAGCGAGAGCCATTTACAGATAACGACTGTGTAAACGAAAGGAGCCCAGAGGACAAGTGTATCCTCAAAAAGGAGTGCTGGGGGAATGAACACAGGCAGCGACACAGAATAACAACTAAGGCCGAGTAAGGGGATACACTCACTTTTGGGTCTATTTTTGTCTTCTATAGAAGAAGACACTAACGAGCTGTTTACTTTGGATAATGAACTGTAGCTAATGCCCATCAGCTCTTGAAAATTTGCAAAGCTGTATAACCATGCTGACAACATAATGTGGAATTACATGCAGGCAAAGTAACTGCACTGGCCTTTGAAACAGCAGAGACTCTGAAAAGGAGTAATTTAAGCAAGAGCACAACCATGATTACAGGCACAATCAAAGCAATGAGTGACCTCCTCACTGTCAGGAAAAAGACTGGTAAGAAGGTCTACCTGACAAACAGACTCCCTGTAATGGAAGGTAAATCCATGTTTCCAATTTTTTAAAAAAAATAAAATTAGCAATAAAATTTACAATAGCAAAACATTATTTACAATAACAAAATGAGAGTTTTCTTCTCTAGAAAACTGCAGACACTCGGCTTGAGTAGGAACATCAACGCATTAGACAAGGCTGTGCTTTGACAAACAAGAAACCACCATCAAGAGACAAATAAAACTGCAGTAAAGCTCTGGAATCCTGAGTTCCATCAACATCACCAAACCCATTAGTGCCTTTCCCTCAGGAATCTGCCAGGAATCTCCAAAATCGAAACCGACTGCTGAAGTGAATGCACTTTGAAATGAAAGGATGTTGATGTATTTTTAGCAGGAAGCTTCTCGCAGGGATTTCAGTGCCAGCTTTATTTAAACCAGCTTGAAAGACAACACAGTATCTGATTTCTGTGCCACAAACCCCGATGTGTGCTATGCACCTAGTTTTGATTCTTCTCCACACAAGGGCAAAAGTAACCAGAAGAGCTACATTTCCAAAGATTAGTACCTGCAGCAAAACCTGCTCCCTCTTCAGCAGCTTTTCCTCCTTAGGCTGACATGCAGCAAAATTCTAAACACTTACATACAATTGTTTATCATGGAAGGAAATCTTAAATAATAAGCATTTTCCTAGGCTCTCATGAAGCAAGTAAAAGATGAAGAAACTAAACTATCAGAAGAATTTTAAATTTGATAAATGCTGGATTTGTCTGAGGAATCTTCATGGCACTGGGGATGTCTCACCAGTTCCTTGACAGACACAGGGAAGCCAGCACAAAGGCACGTAGAGGCCTTGTTTGGTTTTCGTTTAAATGCACTCAACTCCTCCCCCCTTCTGAAAGTTCTGTTCCTGAGCCAGCTACTGAAAGTCAAACAAGGTTATTCTCCTTCAGTGGTTTATTTTTTCCCCTCCTCTCTCTCTCTCATGCTTCTACCACAAAACCCCAACAGGGGAAGCAATCTCACCCCTCCAGGATGTGCACAGGGACTGGGTCTGTGTCTGCTTGGAGTGCTCTGTGACTCTGGAGCAAGGCCTGGGCTGACTGGCAACTTGTCTCCAGATTATCAAACAAGGATGCTCACACCAGACACAAAGAAATGGGAAGGCTCCACTGTACAGGTAAAAAGATCACCCAAGACATATCCTTAGGAAACAAACCCGAGGTGACAATTGTTTGCATCCAGTTATTGAAAAGGACTCTTGCCAAGGACTCCACTTTGTGTCAGTAAGGTTTTAATTACTGTACTGTAGCTGTAAACATTCAATTGCATTTACAAATATTTTAACTTGTTGCTTCCAGGAGAAGAGGGATCAACTTAAACTCCATCTGCCAGTTGGTGATGAGAAAGGTTGCTTAAAACAGGATAGAAAGAGCTCACAGAGTTTAATTATGACTCCTGAAGTTCTCTATTTTAAGTAAGTGAGTTACGACTCCGACATATGCAAGAATACAACAGCATAAAGTGAACATTTCTGAAATGACGACTGCCAAGGGAGGCACAAGATGTTCTCAAGCTCATGGAGTGCCAGAGGCCCCTCCTGCCTTCAGTCACTTCACTGGCAAATCTTTGCACAATAGCAGGGCTGGACTCACAAACACAGCACTGACATGGAACCACAACACACAGCTATAAATCAGTCTCACCAGACTCTGGGGACCTGTTCTGTTTGTACGGGTTGGTGATTATTTACACTCAAGTTTTCTGAAAAAAGCTGAAAAGAAATGAATCAGGATTAAGTTCACGCTGATCTCAGGACTGCGGGCAGCTGTTCAGCTGAGCATTCAGGTCACCCACCTTGCTGACAGCTCACAGGAGACCCTGTAAGTCAGCCTGGCTGAGGCACAGACTCATTCTCCTGGCATTCGTGCCTCTCTCCCGGCGTGAAGTATCTCCCTCTGCTAAATGCAGTAACCACCGAAGCGCTCATTCCAAAAATACAGCCCCCTGAGCACTGGCACCGTTACCAACCTTCCCTCAGCAACTGTGTCACTGCAGAGAAGGTGGAAGGAAGAAAAACATCCATCAGTTGTCAGGGAAGACACAGCGGCCCAAGACCCAATTTAACTGCCAACAAATCCTACAAGATAGTTTTCAACCAGAGCAATCAAGTGCCAAACACAAGTGTGACTTTGGAAGGGGCCATTAGTGGCAGAATCCCAGAGAGAAGCAGCTGTGTGCCCCAAAAGGGCTGCAGAATAAAGAAATTTATATATAATTATATAATTTTATAATTATATAATTTTATATATATATGATCACAATACTTTCAATATGGCCCGAGTTGAGAAAGTTGCTCATTTCTTCTCAGAAGAAGACAAAAGCACAGACACTTGTCACAAACTCAGCTCAGTTAAGGGACACCACATGCAACAGCCCTATGACAGTGACACAGATTCAAGCAAAGCTTTGGCATTCATTGGTCATGAGGAAATGAGGAGTTACTAAACAGAGGCAATACCAACAGCATGAGTTACTACTTGAGTACTGGGTTGATTATGCACATTGTATGACACCCTGATTCCCTGAATTCAGATACATATCTTGGAGGATAATTTATTTTAAAAATTTAACATTTAATTTCAATGGGATAAAAACCCCTATACATGTCTCCTGACTCCAGGGTACGGAACTGCAGCTTCTTGATGTGGAATCAAAACATTGAGATGTTTTTCCATAAGTTCAAAGCAACTTCTGTTTTGCAAAAGCAGGGAAAGGAATGGATGCAAATAAATAACTATTTCTCTCCAACAACATTAATTGGCCCAGAGAGGTGTGGACTCTCCATCCCTGGAAGTGTTCGAGCCCAGGTTGGATGGGGCTCTGAGCAACCTGGTCCAGTGGAAGGTGTTCCTGCCCATGGCACAGGGTTGGAATGAGATGATCTTTAAGGTCCCTTCCAACTCAAACCATTCTGTGATTCTATAATTAACTAAGGCAAACCACAGACTCCCCACTTTCTCCCAAGAGTTAAGACCCTCGGTATTTTCCAGCAGAGTAGCTTTTGTCTTCCAAAGGACTTCACCAGAACTTCCTCTAGGTATAAACTCAGGACAGGTGTAGCTACTGAAGTATTTTGAAAATGTTTAGGTTTATTCTCCTTTATCCCAAGGGTTGTCACAGACCTGTAAGACAGCATGGCACTAGGAAAACAGGTAAGTCTGCTGCAGATTTTAAGGCAAACTTAAATGTAAACCAGACTGGGTGGAAGTAAATTACAACAGATATTCTGATTTTAAAAGAAAGCATTTAATCCCAGATGAACAAAAAAGAATATGGTTATCTAACAAAGTGCAGAAACAGTAAAACACATTTACTTTTCCATTTATTGGCACTTATTTGAAAAATAGCATAAATATTCAACAGAGAAAAGAGACAAGTTGACCCACACGCAGCTATGAAACCCCTCCGCTGATGAATCTTTTAACAAAGACTCTAAGAGACACCAGGAGGTTCATTCTTAAGAAATAAGCAAGATTTTTAAAAAAAAAGAGTCTTGCTCTCACCACAGAAGAGTGAATGCACAGCAACTCTTTGGCACATACCTGAAATTGCAAAACCAAACTTTGCCTTGTCAGACAAACAGACACCAACCCTCACGTGTCCGTCTGCACGGGGACAAAGGGCAGCTGGACTCAGAGAGGAACTGCAACCAGCAAGGGGATATTACAATAATTTAAGAGGAATGATATCAGAAGTAAACCATGTCGCATCTTCCTAGAACAGCGTCAGACTATTAAATACATTCTATTTTCTCTCTACAATAAGGACACAGGGAGACGGGTCATTGGCCCTCAGGTCGCCGGGTCTTTGCGCTCCAAGTCATCCACTTCTGCTTTGGATGGCTGCTGTCAATCAAAGCTTCACCCATGTGAATCTTTCACAGCAGAGTTCAGGGCAGGTTTTTCTCCTACTTGAGGATGTTTCCATACTTTTCTTGCTTTATGACACACTACAAAGATTTAGTGTTTAAAAATAAAACGTTTTGCTTCATTATAAACCTCTCGGAAGAGAAGGTTTGGAACCACATAGCACAGACATGTACAAATGGGGACTCAGCTGGGGAAGTTTGGATGCACAGCAGGAGCCCAAAACCCAAATGAGGTTGCCACTGGAAGATCTCTATAGACAGCTGTCTATAGGGGGGCCTGCATATTTTTCCTCCTGTTTGGGGAATCTCAGAGTTGAGATCAAGATGCCTCAACACATTGACTTTTCAAACATCTCAGATTACCAGATTCTAGCTTCCAATTAGCATCTGAAGTTTTCAACAGCAGAAAGGACTTGATGTCATTGTTTGACGAAGTGACATCAGGGGATTAAACACAGATTAAACAGGTTTGATCTCCTCAGCCTGTAAAAAGACATTCAAGATTTCTCACTGTATCTGTCCAACACAAGTCATATATGAGGACAAATACTGACTGTTAAAATAACGCATTTCTGAAGTACTAAATACTAAAGCCTCAGGATTTAATGTTTTGTTCCAAATATTACCACTACTTTTCCCTATTAAAAGACCTTTAACAGAGCATCTACCACTGCAATACATCATCTAAATGGGGAAGAAAATAATACAAAACCCCAGAAGAATGTTCCACACCTAATTTAGATTTAGTCAAAACAGCAGTCATATAAAATCCAACATATAAATTTAAGTTGACAATTCACCAACTTCTTCTTTGGACATCCATTGGAACATAGGATTGATTAAGAGCCAATCATAACAATTCCCCCCCACCCCAGTATTCCCCCTTACATATGAAGAACTGAAAAATATAAATATCTAACAGTCTGGGAATAAAAACTATTAGTAAGCTGATTCATTGGTTTCAGACTGAGGACAAATGTGACAGTTATCTGTTCCTACATAAGCACCACATTATATGAGGGAGGACACTGGCTGCTGGCAAGCCAAGTCTTCCACAAGCAGGATGCACATCCAGCCTTTGTAACTCATACCAAGGAGTCAATATCCATGGCAAATCCACATCTTGCTGGCTGATGTGAACATCCAGTGGGTCTGCAACCCAAATGCTTGCTGTTAATTTAGTAAATGTCATACAAATCACTAGAAACATGAATTCCTCCTCAAGGAACTACTCTGGAAGTTTTCTAGAAATAATGACATTCCTGGAAGTTCCTATGAGGAACAGAATCGGTTACACACAACAGAAAGTCTTGGTGATATCCAGCCTGTTTCCTGGTGTCCATCAGCAGACTCCTGCTCCTCAGTTAATGGGTAACTTGGCCGTAAGATCTACTGGTAAAAAGGGGGATCTGGAGTCAGAGAGTGAGACTGGAGAGTCTGTGCTGGTGCCAACTTCTGCTGGGGAATCACAGGAGGAGCCGGCACTGCTCCTGTTGTCATCGAGGGCGTGTGAGGACAGACTGAAAACAGAGCAACATCAGGACGTGAGAAACGAGGCACTGGGGAGTCCCAATACCAGCTCTACTCATTATAAAGCCCTTTCAAACACACACATACACATCTCTGAAGGAGCAGTAAAGCCCCATGATCTGAGATCCATCTGCAACCCCACACCTTGCCGTCACTTCCAGACAGACATGGAACGCTCTGCCCGTTTCTTCCTTTGCTCATCCAGAAATGGGGCACAGATTAGAAGACCTGGGCTAAGCAATCCCCTGCCAGCTTTACCCCATCCCCAGGGCCTTGGACCAGCACACAGCCAGGGGTCTTTTCTGCCAGGAGAGACAACAATAATAAACTGCACATACTCCACTGTACTGCAGATCTCACAGGACACAAATTTGTAACTATAGTGATCTACCATCAGTGCCAGCAGCAAAGTGATTTTTTAAAAATTATCATCTCCTAAACCAAGATGAAGCAATTGAATCCACACTGCTATGCCTACTGTGAACAGGGTGTGCAAAAAGGGTATGTTTTTGAAGTACCTTTAAAACATCTATTTTGCTACTGCTACTGCAGTGTGCTCAAAGCTTGTGCACAGTTTGTACATCAGCTGAGAGGCAAAAAGGACAAAAGTACCGTGAACAACCCTCTCTTGATAGCTGTGTGGGCACACCCTGTGTATTATTAACCTCTTGACTAAAACACTAGATCAAAATCCCTTGCTATTTCGAGTCATTACGATTTCTAACAAAGTACTTTTTATCTCCTCCCAGCAGGGAGGGTCAGACAGACTCATGTTCCTCTGTGACTAAGAGCAAGGGAAAAAAAACAAAACCCCATCCACCCAAAAGCATCAGCATTCATATTTGATTGCATCTTGAAACTGGACTACAAAAACTGCCAGCCATGAGGTGTCTTTTCCTAAACATGGTCAACTCCCACATAGGGGAAGCATGTTATCAGTCAGGCCTAGAAACTGCAAAATTATAGTGAATATTGCTGCCTGTTTATTGTGACAATTTCAGTGCTGTAAAGTTATGAGATGTCTGTACTAAAAACAAACAAACAAAACCAATTTCAAGTATAATCATTGCTAGAAGAAAAAAAGACTGGTATGCTGCTGCTGAAAGGGACAATGAATAACACAGCGTTTACCATCCCCCAAGGTCTGCCTGATGTGCAGCTTCAGGGGTAAGCATGTTGGTGGATCCTTGGAATAATCTTTTGGGATGATCTTCCATCTCTGTCACACCTTTGGGAAGAGATAAGGAATGATAAAAATTACTACTCATTCAAACTAAAATCTGCTTTCAATGTACTTCTACAGAGCAAACAGAATACAGGTTCAAACTTATTACAATAGATTCCTTTATATTTAAACCATAGAATTTAGATGCTGAAACACTGCCTATTTCTTCAAAACATTTTAGTCCCAGCTTCAGTATTTAGTGAGTTATTAGCTGGGGTTTAGATATCAGACATTTATTCTTCAGTAGTGAAGAATAATCTTTTTGTTTCAGTTTATCCAGCTATCAGTTCACTGACCAGCTCCACCAGAGCAGAGAAGCTGAGAAGAATGAAAAAGAACAAGGTCCAGGATTATCAAAACACTTTTACATTGACTTTGATTTCCAAATACTCCAGAACAAGAAAGGAGAGATCTATGCTTAAATAGGCTATGACAGAACTCAGATAAAAGTATTTTAGAAGTTGTCTCAGAGCCAGAAATGTTCTGTAACGAAGGTGAAGCAGGAAGATGTAAAAACAGATGCAATAAAATAGCCAGAAGTTAAACTTGAAGAAAAATGTGGGAAGATAGAGAAGCATTAGACCAGAACAACTATTAGCTTTATGGAATAAAGATGTTTTATCATCTGTAATACCTTCTATTTCTAGTCACTTTTTGAAATATCAGCCAATTGGAACAGAATTGTGAAGAAAGCTATATGAATTATTATATAACTAACAGGTTGGCCTATTATAATAACCAAACCTAAATACTGTACCTTTTCTTTTTATTGATCCAAGAACACTTGGTCGAATGCAGTTAATTGGACTCTGGCTTCTCCTGCTAAAAGAAGGCATTTGCTATACTGAGATCATCATTAAAAAAAGAAGTTTGAAAACATATGAAGAATCAAAAGTTACTCAGAAAACAAACTACTAAGTGAAAAATACTAAGAAAATAGGCATTAAAACAGCTTATCCAGAGCAAGTTCTTTTTTTCCTCCCTGAAAAAAGACCAGGAAGCACAGACCTGAATAGCAAAAGTTTAATCACATTATTTCACAACTGGGGCAGTCTAAAACCTCACATGCAGGCACTGACTACATCTCAGTTGACAGGCAGTGCTCTGCTGAACAGTTAAGGCCTACTAAAATTTAATTATAAGCCCACATCACTCAAAACAACATCCAATGCAACTAAAACCCAGAAGGAGTAACAAACCCTAAATCTGTTTGAGTTTTCTTCCCCCAAG